GACTTTGGCAAATTTAGTCAATACAGCCAATCTAACTGTTAGCTGTTGAACTTTCTTTTTATTTTTAGGAGCCTTCATGTCTATTACCGCTTTGCATTTATGTGGATTTGCTTCAATTCCTGTATGGGTTAACATAAACCCTAAAAGTTTTCCAGCCGGGACTCCAAAAGCACATTTAACCGGATTCAAACGAATTCAGTGGACACACAACTTCTGGAAAGTTTGCTCCAAATCCTGAACATGGTTTGCAAGATCTACTACTTGACAATCATATCATCTATATAAACTTCTATATTTCTACCAAGCTGGTCTTCAAATACTCTATTCATCATCCTCTAATATGTTGCCCCTGCATTTTCCAAAACAAACGGCATTATATTATAACAATAATTCGCCTTCTACGAGATAAATGCCATTTTTTCTTGATCTTCAGGATACATTGGGATTTGATTATACCAGAATATGCATCCATGGAAGATAACAATTGAAATCCAAATGAATTATCAATAAGTTGATCTATATTAGGCATTAGATATTAATCTTTAGGACATACCTTATTGAGATCAGTATAATATGTGCAGACTCTTCATTTCCCACTGAATCTCTTCACCATAACCACATTGGATAACCATGTGGTATATTGAATCTCCCTTATGAACCCGACATCTAGAACCTCATTTACATGCTCATCCAAAACCTGCCTTCTTTCAGGCCCTAGCTTTCTCTTCTTTTGCGCAACCGAGGTTGATCCGGGATACATTGACAACTTATGACAGCAAAACTTTGAATCAGTCGTAGATATTTTGGATGATTTTCACGCAAAAACATCTTTATTCTTCTTCAGAAAGTCTATCAACCCGGCTTTTATTCAATCTTAGTAAACCGCCTAGGTTCATTACCAAAGACAAGATCTTCTAATTTTCCATCAGGTTCTGGTCTTAAAATCATAGCTTCTTCTCTCATATCCAATTCAACTATATTGACTGGCTTACTTGGATAGCGAGAGATATCTTTCTTACCTGCTTTATCCCCTGGACGAATCCATGGTGGAGATGAATGCCCTCATTTATTGTCTTTGACAGCATCAAAATAACACTCATGTGACTCTTTTTGGTCTCCTTGGATAGTGATGATTTCATTCTTATTGCTCACCATCTTCAATTTCTGATGCTTGGTAAAGACAAGCATATCCCACTTAAGAATAGTTGGCCTCTTCAAAATTATATTGCATGGAAAGGAAAAGTCTGCAATGAATCTCACTTTTTCGACTTAAATGCTTCCTTTGTTCCCAAAGTTAATTTGAGATCTATATATCTCTTTGGAGGGATATTTTCTCCATTGAAGGCTATCAAGTTAGTCTTGCATGGCTTCAGATCTTCCTCATCAAGATTCATTCTTTTAAAGATATTTAAAAAAAATGATATCGGCACAGTTGCCAGCATCTATAAAGATTTTCTTAACCCGATAATTACCAAGGTTCCTATGATAACCAGTCCATTTTTGTGTCCTAGTACCACATCTGCCAAATCCTCTATGGTAAAATTTAACAAAAGAGGCTTTGGTTTATTGGAATCTTCCATGAATTTTGGCCGATCCCTAACCGAGAGCACTTCCTTAAGATATTTTCTTCTTGTACTTATTGTATCTCCCCCTCCACCAAGAGCTCCACTGATAACATTGCAGTCGAACTCGGCTTCAGGAAATTCATCATCATTTGATTCTGCATTTCCTCCTTTTTCATCTTTCTTCTTATTTTCAGGAACCAGGATTTTGCTCTTGTTGCGCCCTTTTTGTTTTCGTTTGTTATTTTTCCAGCCCTGAGTTTTGATCACATACTGGCGTAATTTGCCTTCTGTGATGAATCTTTCAATCGCATCTCTAAGATCCCAGCACTGATCAGTAGTATGCCCAGGTCCATTGTCCAAGCCAACTACAATCAAATGCATATTTTCCTGTAACCCAAGAACCTACAGTGCTGCACCCTTGAAATAATCCAGATACTTCATAAGTGTCTCCCCAAGTTGTTGTCTAATTTTTCCAAGTGCAAACTCGAACTTCGGGTGTTTCTTGCTTGTAGCAAAATTCAGCAAGAATTGATCTTTAAAATCCTCAAAGGATCTTATTGAATTTTCTGGCAAAGTAGAAAACCACGTCTGAGCTGCTCCTATTAGAGTTGTAGCAAATATTCGGGAAATGATAGGTTTATTAATTCCTCGTATATACATATCTGTATTAAAAGTATCTATATAAACTTGTGGATCCTGGCTTCCATCATATTTCGGCAAGTGTACTGAATCAAACTCTTTCGGGAATAATGAATTCACAATATCATCAGCACGACCTTGAATCTGAATATCACAGTTGTGATCAGCTTCATACCGGTTCTGCTGAACTTGCATATCCCGATTATGATCAACTTCTCCCTGGTTAGGCTCCACATTTTTTATTCTTTCAGCATTCTGATCACGAACTACGACATTGGTAATTCGATCTATATCAGTTTCACCTCAACCCTCTATCTTGAACTTGATTATTGGCATCCCTGACCAGGTTTTCATTATCATTAGCATCTTTGCTGTGATGAACCTCTCTTTGCCTTTCTCTTCTTCTATTTTCTTCATCTCGAATTTGGCATCTAGTGCATTCTTAATTTTGCAATTGCAAAAAATGCTCCTTCATCTCTTGAAATCTTCAAACATCTTCCTACCTTTGAAGATTATGTTGTTCCATCTCTTCCATCCACCTTAAGATCGCATTGAAAGCGGTCTGTGCAAGGCAAGCATCTAGATTTATAGGTTGATGTTGAAGAGGTGCTATTTGATTCTGAGGATTACCTGCTAGAGCAGGTATGGAGGTTGTATCCGAGACATCCTCACTTACATGAACTGCATCGTAATTTGGCGCAGCTTCATGTTTAGGCTGATTGAAAGATTGATCCACCTCCACCAGAACTGGATTCACCGGTAGTTGTGCATAAGGTGGCAGGTGACTGTTACTCTTTGTATGAACCATTCTTGGCTGTGGGAATGAAAATTTATCTTTTCCACGGATTGCGCCAATGTTCTCTCCTGAAGACAAAGATGTCTAGCTCAAAGGACTAGTAAATTTATCTTGGATCTAGGTGCTCTAAGATATCTATGAATTAGATACCCTTGAGTATGGCAGATCATTGTGCACAAATAGCTAAAGAACAACTTTCGTCAAAGGGGTTGTGTGTGCACAATGATAACATAACAGTAAAATAGAGAGAGAATGAAGCATACATGTAGGTTTTACCTCTTATTTATAGGACTTACCTGTGTGTATGAGAATTCTGGACCATTTGTGCCTCCTCTAGAAGCCCAAGCCCAAGTCTGATAATGTTGTATTAGGATTAATATTCTCCTTTGATTATATCAAATTCTTATTTGGATTATCCCTTATTGGGCTATACACTAAATGGGCCTCATATATAAGTCCATAACATCATCATTAGCAATAAGTGAACATGTCATGAGAGAACCAATTTGATTGTCTTGAACCCGTGATTTGTCATAAATTTTCTTCTTCATATTATTGTAGGTCGTGTCATGTCTTATTTGCATTTTTTACCTTTGAAAGTTATATCAATTTGACCTTCCAAATTTTCTATAATTGTGATAAATTATTGCACGAACTATTTAAAAATTTAAACTAGCTTTTAAAGAAGAAAAAATGGTAGAATTTGAAAGTATTCGAGGAGTGAAACAATGATAATATGAGTGGCTGAGATTTGATAATATGAAAGAATGGATGTGAGGCAGTGAGTTAAGAGTGTGATGGGAGAACTAAATGGTGGTAGCTCAGTTGATAGTAAGGGAGCTGAGTAAGTGGAAAAGAAAGGGTCTTGGTTCGATCCTTACATGCCACCTTTGGGAAGGTTTAATTATCTTCATCCCTAACCCGCCCCGTACTCCGGATTAGTCTCACGACTGGCTGAAAGAATTGAAGCTTGTGGGGATATTGTGGGAAGCCAACTCGCTTCAAAAAAGTAATTATGATTGAATTAACTATAAAAAAAGTGTGATGAGAGAACATACTTTTATAGAAGAGAAGAAATGGGGTACCCAGCGTGATTTTTAGATGTTACTACCCTCAATAACATGATTAACTTCATTAGTTTGATAAAAAAAAATTCTAAACATCATTTATTTTATATTGGTCAAGAAATCAAGAGAAACCGCTCTTGTGAAGAAAAAAACTACAAAAACCTCTTATTCTTCTTGTAAAATATGTATTTTAATATGTGTATAACCTTTGACCTTTCACATGCTTTATGATGTGTGGATGAACATTTGATTTTTCATAGCTTTTGATATGTCATGTAACCATTACACTAATGTGTATTGAAGTGTATTTACTTCCCTATTCATATATAAAGCCCTATATAAAGACAAGACTTAAAGATTGGATGATGAATGAATTCATAAATTAATAACATTTCTATACTTTTCTAAGAGTTTTTCCTTTAATCTTCGCATGTTTTCTTTTTTCAGTTTCCCTTTTCTATTTCTCTCCATTTATTTTATAACAATTCTAGTGTTCTTGCGGAAAAAATAGTCTCGTACACAATTCGAATGGCCTAAACTTGCTAAGTATCTCAAAAATTCACTAAAAAGAAAAAGATAATAGTAAATAGAAATAAATAAATAATAAAATTACTTTATACTTGGAAAAAAAATATAATTGAAGTGAATAATAATTACATATTAAGAAAAGTTTAAAAATATTTATAAATTTTACAATCCAAAAAATAAGTGTTGATAAAGTTATATTTTCAAGTATTTAAATGAGCAATAAGATATATTTATAATTCTATTTTTTTATCGTTAAAATTTTAAATCAACAATTAATAATTGTACTTTAAAAAAATTACATACAAAAAGCAAAAATTATCCGAACCCTACTTCGGTATAGATGCATGCAACAAGTTATCCGAGCCATGCCATTCTCTCCAGCTAAACATGGTTTTATGCAGTTTGAACTCGATTGGAATTTTCATAGTTCTGAATGTTAATGGCTTTCATAAACACAAACAACAAACATCCTAGATCCTAGCTACATCTAGATGCACAACACCAATGTAAAAGTGTGCACCTCCAAATGTTGATTCATATAACTGAGCTCCCAAGAAACGTGAATTTCCATTACACAGGGCAACAAAGAGATGGTAAGATTACACAGAATTGATGTCAATATAAGCAATCTAAATTGCTATGACAGGATAAACCCAAAATGAGAGGTGAACCTTTGGGTCAAAACTCAATTGTAGTAGCGTGAACCAGTATCATAAACACGTCCCCCAGGATATGGACCTCTTGGCTCAAATCCTTGATCTCTTGCACCCCCAAGAAATCGAGCTCGCTCATTGTAAGAATCAAAGTGATCAGAAGAATAGCCTCTTTGCACTTCTCCCCCAGCAGCTGAAGCATTATCAGTGTTGTAACCATGAGGGTCTCTGGGTGCCATGCCACTGCTGGGGTAAGGATCCTTTATGGTTTGCTGATACTGCTGTTGTCTTGCATGTGATTCCCTTTGAAGAAATTCAGCTCTGCGGCTGCCATGCCGAGCTCGGAGTGCTGCCAGTTTTTCTTCATACTGAGTATTGATTGTATTTATTTTCTGAAAATGAAAAGTACATGGAACTTTGTTAAAGCTCAATGAAATTGAGAAATATAGTTTTAGAGAACATATAAACATATCTAAAGAATTCAAAATGAATTATAGATTATCTTGCTCACCCCCAGAGTGTTTCAATATTCAATTGCAATACACAGTGACATAGATTTCTTAAATACAAGGCAGGAAAGGTTCAGGTGGAAGAACTAGACTTGGAGCTGACAATCAGCTAAAAGATAAACCTAATTCAAGAATAAAAAAGCACTACTCTTGCAAAGGTGATTTCAGAAAGTACTCTAAAAATGGGTAAGAGTCACACAACTAAAATAAAGTATCAGGATCCCACAACAATAAACCTTAGTTCATACTTTAAAAGATGCAAAAAGCAGTATAAAAGTTACATAAATGCAGCGTTTGCAAAATAATGACTTCAAGTTTATTAAATATCATGGAAACTGACAGCCAAAGCCTAGAACAAAACTAGCCAATACAATTTTTTCCTTCTGGAAGCTTTTTTTTTTTTTTTTTTTGGGAAAGGCTCTAAGCAATCCATTCATAAGCTTGCACTCCTGGGATGCAGTTCAATCCATGCCAATGGATGATTCTGCAGGAGGATCTATATTTGGAAAATATTTTCAGTACTCCCGTACTACGGAAGACTCAATTCATTATTTAACAAAGTTGGAGAAAAGTAACCCACCTACCTACATTTATTCTACTCATCCCTTTGTAGTTAATGTCATGAGTCCCCCCCTTCTACTTTTTTACTTCTGGTAAACGAGTACCTACTATAGGAGAACTCAAAATATGCTTCTGTATCTGATACTTACTGTACTTCTGTAACAACATATATCCTCTTAATTAGCCACACTATCTTCAAAACAAGCAATCCGTTCAACAAATCCCAATAAGTTTTATATCAAAGTGGAATCCAATTCTTAAAAGAGAAGCAAGTGCAGCTTTACTCTTACAGAGGAACCAAGACTAGAGGATTGAGCAGACATGCATTTTTTTTCCTTCAAATTTTGTTTGGATTATTACAGTATGGCTTTAACGAAGGAGACTGTCTTAATCTTTATAGACTTTATTGACCATAAAGTAGCACAAAAACGTGTATATCAATGCCCTCTAACAGAGCAAGACCCTCCAAATCTGTCTGCCAAGTAGACATGAATTCATGTCACAGCTACGACAAGTCGTCAAATTACAGCAGGGCAAGTTTTTAAAATGAATATTAGGAGTAAGTTTCACACCCTGGAACACTAGGACATAAAAACTAATTATCATTATTCTATAAAAATATAAATATCCATGAAGCAAACTAGACTCCAGATGGCTCATTATGTTTCTTCTGGTTTCACAGTGTGCTGAAGCCGTACAGGTCAGTTAACCTAGTAGGGTCTGGATTCAATCCATCAAGGGGGTTGCATGATTATAGGTTCATCTATCAAGAAAAAGAAAGAAAAAAGACAAAAAAGGTTGCAAAATGAGTAGAAGATTTCGGGTATTTGAAGAACACATTAAAAATTAATACTGTTGACGTTTAACACTAACCTCCCTGTGCCTGGCATGTTCTGCATCTTCAGCATCATTCTGTTCTTTGGTAAGTTTAATAATGTCATTCTGAAAATTCTGCTCAAGAGATTCAAAAGTTGGTGATAAATGATTTCCCTCATATCCAACGTCCCTATCTTCTTCATGAGCCTGAGATCTGGAATCATTGTTGCTACGGTTCTGCAAAGCCAACTTAGGGTCAGGCCTCTGCCCCTGAAAATAGGACCTTGAAGCATCACCCCCTTGACCTACACTAGAACATGCAACGATTCCCCTAAGTTTAGTAGTTTGAAAAACATTTCCATGATAAAAATGGCAAATCTGTACCTAGGCATTTTAGACATTGAAGCTAACGTTTTAACAATTCAAAAGTAAGATAGTTTCAATAAATGTGGCAATGTTGGCTGAACAAGAATATCATTGTAACCAGGGACTGCTTCTTAGTGCGTTCATTGAAAAAGAGTTATTCATCCTATATACATCAGGGACTGCTTCTTAGTGCGTTCATTGAAAAAGAAACAATTTTTTATGACTAGATAAGATACAAAGAATACCTGCAATGTGAGTAACAATACGCAGTTAGCAACAAAATAAAAAGGGCAGCATTTAAAAAGATTATCCTGCCCAATGAGTCACATGATACTATCAATAATCCTGCCTAACATAATTATCCCAGGGTTATTACTTATTACCTCACTTCTTATTTAGTAACAGAAACCTTCATACTGTAGCACAGAAGAAAGGTTAACAATTACAAGGAATAAGTGTTTTCACATTCTAGTAGAGACTAAAGAGCGTATAACTCACATACCAAAAAAAAGAGAGCGTATAATACAAAGCAAGAATAGGCATCATTATCTTAATTATCCCACAGGGTCATCAATGAAGACATACAAAAAACCAAAAAACAAAAAAAAATGCTAACAACATGTGATCCTCTATCACCTTTTAAATAAACAAATGACGTACTAAAAAATTGGACAAAATTGCATGCCTACAAATTTTCCAGATAACAAATGAGAAAGAGTCAAATGCTCATTCCTGTATGCATAACACATCAACGTGCACCTATATTTCAGAAAGAATCTGATGGATTAAGTTTCTTAACTCTATATTAACAAAGAGAGCAAGAAGGTAGTTTTCAATCTTCACTCTTTGTCCAAATGTTTTTTTAAAAAGAGTCCGTATAGTACTTTATCATTGTTTTATACATTTATAAAACATATAACGTTTTAATTATGTGTGTAATTGAGTAATTAAAATAACATGTAAATTGTTTCAGGTAACTACACCGTATAGTATCGCTTCATTTCCTTATCTTCTTTGTAGTCTTTCTACCACTCTTTCTCTTCAATCTTCATCACATTAATTTTTCAGAATTTTTTTTTTTTTTAATTTGCACATATGTGTAGGGTGTGTTATTTTTTTCATAGAAGCATTTATCATGTGCTTTACTTCTAATAATAACATAAAAAGCAGCAGATAAATCACACACACACTGCTCCTCCTATGTCTGCATTATAGGTCCTACTTGTTTTCAGTGAAAACTGTTGAGATATATAGTCCCACATTGATTGTATGTGCAACTAATGTGGAGTTCATAAGGCCTTGGGCACTCCCACCCTCTGAGCTAGCTTTTGGGGTGGTGCATCCCAAGATTCTTCACATGGTATCAGAGCCTCGCCGCCCCCCACTTTCTCTTGTGGCGTTTCTTAGCACAGGTAGGCTGGGCCTGTTGCATTGTCCACTCTTCAAGCCCAATGGGCTCTCGTGTGAGGGGGCGTGTTGAGATATATAGTCTCATATTGGTTGTATGTGCAACTAATGTGGAGTTTATAAGGCTTTGGGCACTCCCACCCTTTGAGCTAGCTTTTGGGGTGGTGACCTCAAGGTTCTTAACACGTCCCCTCACACGAGAGCCCATTGGGCTTGAAGAGTGGACAATGCAACAGGCCCAGCCTACCTGTGCTAAGAAACGCCACAAGAGAAAGTGGGGGGCGGCGAGGCTCTGATACCATGTTAAGAACCTTGAGGTCACCACCCCAAAAGCTAGCTCAAAGGGTGGGAGTGCCCAAAGCCTTATAAACTCCACATTAGTTGCACATACAACCAATGTGGGACTATATATCTCAACAAAAACTACTGCTGTTAAGCAAACTTCGAGACACAACGTTTTTGTCTATTTAATGATAATAACATTGAATATATTAACCTTGGCAAAGATGAACATAAAATCTCAGTAACTAGTCACTACTTTTATATTTAAAAATGGATTCGTTAAAAGCTTTTAATTAAAGGTCAAAAAGTTGTAAAAATTATATCTGGTTACAACTTCACAAGATTTGTGTCCATCACATGAGAAACATCTTAAGTTTGCAAAATAATGATCATTTTCATCTAATCCAGATGCAATGCTTAGCTAGGTTAATTCAGCCTTTAATATGCGGGTGCATAAGCAAGCATGAAGAGGCAAAGAATAACACTTGCCTTCAGTAAACATATGAGATGTCATTGAATTAGACATCTTTGATTCATCCATTTCCCATCTCCACTGACCCTCTGGCTTTGAATTTGCATATGGATTGTCTCTCTCCGGAGTGAAGGCCTCTAACCGTTCTTCAAAATTGTCAGGCTTGGTTTCCACCCTCTGACCAGCCATGTGATGCATCTGGCCACCAACATAAGTATTGGCAGATGGATCACCATACTGCCCCTGCCGTCTCATTGTTGAAAAACAACACTTATGTGAACACAACCTAAGAGACATTAAAGCCATAAACCAATCACTTAACCACATAACCAACACTGCAACTGTATGTAATCATGCATGAACATGTATTTTGGTTTCATATGAAACACTCCACGAACTAAATGAAACAGATATTACAGAATAATGCATAGTTTCATACAAAATTTGGGAACAAAGTCCAAATGGAGTGCATCATGTGAATCATTTTATAAAACATATACATTAAAGAACCTTAGTCTTAAAGAAACCAAACTAAAATCTTGATTAAATATAAGAACAATTTTTTGCAAGCTTACAGAGCATGTAAATTAATGGGAAAAAAAAAAATCAAATCTTTCAATGGAAAATAAGAGCCCTCTCCTCTAAGTAATATTAACAAAGTTTACGTACCTCCTACCCAGCACATGCACAGAATCTTAATCTCATTCTCTTTTCATACCAAACTCACTTTGTGAACTCAGTTTTTACTGCTTAGTTTTACTCTTACTTATCATAAATTATTTCAAGGTGCAAACGCTTTGATAGAGAAGGGAAAAGGTGAATTAGCAGAGGATCAAACCTCCAACATCAACACTGGACTCAAGTCTTAAGCTACAAGCTTGTTGGCAGAAATAATTCCTTTATCTTAGAGATTGTGAAAAACATGGTAAATGAAAAGTTGGTCTTAGTAAATGAAAGCAGCTCTTTGATTTCTTGGTGTCACTTAAACTATAGCTCGTGCTTTCCACATCAATAGCTCGTGGTTTTCTATACCGAGCCAAACCAGTTCAGAGAAAATTGTTCGGTTCTTAAATTGGTTTGGAAAAACATGATGTAATTCAGTTTGATTCAGTTTATTTGGTTTTTTTACACTCCTAAGAGTAGGTATGGTTCAGTTTCGGTTTTTAACCCGAACCGAACTGAATTGGTAAAGTGGTTCGGTTCATAAACCGAACTGGTTTTGAAGAAATGGTTTGGTTCTTGAACTGGTTCAAAAAAATGTGGTACTTTTGGTGGGGTTTGGATTGGTTCACAGTTCATTTGATTTTTGTGCACACCCCTACTACTGTATTTGGTAAGAATATATCAGCTGATTTTTTTTCATCATAATAGATCAAAGTAACGAATATCTGTATATGACTTCTGTATTCAATTAAAAAAGCATTACTGATTCCGTCATTTTCAAGGAAATTCAGGGTTCAATATATTTTTCTTGTAAACTATATACATGGATCATAATGACTTAAATTTTATGTTAAAGTCTTTTAGACACCAAGCACGCCATAATAGTATCCTTGAGTAGCTAAAGAATTTGGGTTGAATCATATGCTGATTGTAACAATAATACAGGTACAAATTGGTGTTCATTCCTTTACATTTGGATTCATGCCAACCTCCAACTACAATTTGTATATTCAGGACTGAATTTATTTATTTTTTAGTAACAAAAAAATAATAAAGAAAACTAACCTAAAAGAAATTCTTGGAATTTGAATGAAAATCAAGCACAAATTCACTGCAAATGATAAAATCGATCAATCAAGACTATCCATTTTGATAAAATGGAAAACCATTTAAATCTCAAGTCTATCCATTTCGATAAAATACATAACCATCAAATCTCAGAATTAAAAAAAAAAAAAAAAAAAAAAAAAAAAAAAAAGAGGAAAAAATAATAGGAACAAAAAGGAACACATGAGGTTTTGAAGGTAAGCTTCGTACCTTAGTTATGGAATAAGTCTTGAGCATGGTACGACATCTCCCTATGTTTGACGAAAAGAGCTCATAGTCCAAGGATGTGCTTGATTTACTGGCGAAGGCCGAGAGAATGCAGAAACAAGTGTGAGGGATGAGTTTAACGTTAATGAGGGTTGAAATTGAAAATTAAACTTTTAATTGAGAATATAAATAAAGTAAAAATTTAAAATATTAAATTTTTAAAAAAACTGACATGTTGTTTCGTAATAGGAGAGATATTTTAATTCTTAAAATTTTTCACTACCAACTTACAACTTATCTAATCACCATCAGATTAACATTTAGTCTCTCTTCAAATATTTTTTAACATTCTCTTTTTAATCCAATAATGATATGATAGGTAATAAATTAGTAATAAAAAATTTTAGTAGTTAGAATATTCTCCATTTTTTTTTTAGAGTGAGAAGCTAGAAGTTTTTGTAAATTACTTTTTCATTTCATTAAAAAAAAAAAATCAGCTGAAAGTCCTGGGTTTTGACTGTACTCTTGCAATTATTTAGATATTCCACTGTTTAGTTCACTGATCAAATATATTACTGAATAATGCAAACAGACGCGTTTTAAGGGATTTGGTCACGCACTAACCAAATGCGTGTATGACATTACATGGCTCAGATGTACATATGTATGTTCCTGTCGCGTGTAAGATTTCAGAACAGCCAAGACGCGTCAGAGGCATGCCACATCATATGCACATTTAATTAGTGCAAGACTAAACGCGCACACAGCTGAAGCATGTCTATCTGCATTATTATTATTACAATAAGACCAACAAACTAAACTAGTGGAATATATAATTAATTGCATTAGTACGGTCAAAAACCCGAAAGTTCTCATAAGTTACTTTTATTTTATTTTTCTTCATTAAAAAACAAAAAATTGCTTTTGCCGGTCCAAATAAACACGAATTACACTACATGTTTGGTTGTCTACTTGCACAAGTGAACTTCGGGTGCCAAAATAATTGCTTGTGTGGGTTTTCACTTTTCACATACTTGCTGAGCTTTGTCTCCAGCTTTTACGGTTTTGTTCGACTCATCAGATTATAAGTTATAGAATATATATATTAGGGATAGTCTTCTCTCTCCTTCAATCTTAATGTCATTCTCTCCATCAGAATACATAAAAAAAAAGAAGGCTTAGAGAGAAAAACTATCCCAATAGAATTGCTGACAAGATGACTGTTGTTAATGCCTCGTCATCGAGATCTGGTATGTTTTTATATTTTATGTGGATGTGAAAATCATATATTCCCAAAATTCTTTATCATGTTCTTATTTTATAATTTATGAACATGATACATTATGCAAACTAATATGTGGTATCAGAACCAGGTTTAAAAATTCATGTTTTTTCATGTATGATTATGATCGGATTCTTGATTTTGAAAAAAATTAAGATTTCTAAAATTTATATTTTTCCCTAATATTTTTTTGATACAATTCCATGATCTCATGTTTCTGAATGCACGTCATATTTTGTAAATTAATGTTGTCGAATCCAAATCTTATCTTCGCAATTCACAAAAGGACAAAAGTGTGCACATTTACCATGATATATTATTTTCTGAATGCTTTTCCGAATCCAAATTACTGGATATGGATACCGTACACATATTTAATGGCTTTATGTTAATCTAAAGTATATATTTTGAATTATTGATTTATGAAATTCGAACATAAATTCGATTATATATATATATATATATATATATATATATATATATATATATATATATATATATATATATATATATATATATATATATATAGGCAAGATCATCTTACACCAGTGTAAGAGTAAGAAATCTTACACCAAATCTTAACCATTGATTTTCTTCATCTAACGGTTAATATTTATTAGGTCTCACTCTTTAATTAATTTTTAATTCCCAATAAATCTCAACCGTTAGATGCACGGAAATCAACGGTTAAGCTTTAGTGTAAGATTTATTATTCTTACACCGGTGTAAGTTGATCCTATCTCATATATATATATATATATATATATATATATATATATATATATATATGGACAGAATATTCTTACACCAGTGTAAGAGTTATAAGTCTTACACTCAATCTTGATCATTGATCCACTTGTATCAAATGACTCACATTACTAAAAAATTTGAACCCTTAGATATAAGTGGAATCAGTGGACAAGAGTGAGAGTGTAAGTTACACTGGTGTAAAATGATCATGACGTGACTATATGACCTTTTGAACGCTGATGTATTTGATTCTCGTGACCCAATATATATTATAATAGAACGAATTCCATAGATGGAATGCATACATCGTTTCCGGGGTTATACGTGATCTTTTATGAGATTTGTATTTGTCATTTAATATGACACAACAAACTTTCTTACACACATAACATTTTGTGGGGCCCATACTTTTGAAGAAAAAAAAAAATTACGACACACAAAATGAATCTCTATAACATTACACAATCACTTTTCTTACAACATAACTCTTATAAAACCCATCTTTTATATATATGTTTAGATTTTTGCTTTTATATATAAATCGAATGCATAAAACTAATGTTTACAAATATAAAGCTAATGTTTATAAAGGTGAGACAAATGCTTGTGGCTTAATGCTTATATATATTATTATACATATAAAGTACTATGTTTATGATTTGATGAAAATTGAATGTTAAATTTTAATTCCATAATGGTTTAATATATATCTATATATATATATATATATATATGCATTTTTTATATTATAAATAATACGGTATGTATAAGAGTATGATTTCCGCTGCTGAATGAATTTTTATTTTTTATTTTTTTTTATATGGGTATTAGTATAAAGATTTCCGTCGTTCATGTTTAAAAAAAATAAAAAAATTGCAATATGTATATTTGAAGTATGGATTGTATTGTCTTATATATACTTATTGTTAATTTTTATTGATGCAACATATTGTGATTATGATATGAAATTGATCTGTTAGTTATTTTCACAAATTATGTTATAGTTTGTTAGTCACTAAAGTGGCCAAACTAATAGTGTGTAGATAACATAAAAGTTATTTATTTGTGTGCATTATGGTTAAAGTTTGTTAGTCACCAAAGTGGTCAAACTAGAATGTTATTGCATGCATAAAATTGTCATTGGATAAATTGATGTTGGAAATGAGGGATTCACCCAAAGGTGAATCATATTCTATAATTAGTGACATTATGTGAAAAATTAGTATTTTGATTAAATATGTTTTGATTATCCAAAGATAATGGATATATTTAATTGAAAAATATTTTTTGTCTATTAATGTTTTGGTATTTGTTTATGATGAGTATATTGTAGTATGTACCCAAAGGAGTGCTACTTTGTGCTTGTATGATTTAATTTGAATCATATTTATGATTATTCATGAGCTTTTGTGTATGTTATTTAAATTGCAGCTTTTCCATGAATTCACAAGCTTCATCTGTTACTATGTTTGCTGGTGAGAATTTCTCAGAATGGCGTGAACAAGTCAATTTTCATTTAGGTGTTATGGATCTTGACTTGGCACTCCTTGAGAATGAACCCGCTACTATTATTAAAACCAATAGTGAGGAAGAGAAATCTCACCATAAGGCATGAACTCGAAGTAACAGAATGAGCCTTATGTTCATTAAAATGAATGTTTCCAACTACTTGTAGGGATTCGTTACGATCCGAATTATTAATCCAGATGAAGATTGTTTTCTCTTTATGGGAAACAGAAAGAAATCTTCAATTGAAGGCATAGGGATTTATCGGCTGGTCTTAGATAGTGGCTATCATTTAGACCTATTATGCACCCTTTATGTACCTTCATTATTTAGGAACCTTATTTCAGTTTCTATGTTGGATGTTAATGGTTTTAAACTTATGTTTGGATCTGGTTATTTCAAATTATATAAGAATACTGATGTTGTTGGTTCTGGTATTCTGATTGATGGTTTATATAGATTGAAATTGAATGAATCTTATGTTGAATCATTGCTTAATGTTGTCTATAATGTTGGATTTAAGCGTGACATAGAGAATGAGAATTCTGCTTTCTTGTGGCATAGAAGATTGGGTCATGTATCCAAAGAAAGAATAATGAGATTGGTGAAGAATGATATTTTGCCAAATTTAGATTTTACTGATCTTAAATTATGTGTGGATTGCATTAAGGGAAAACAAACCAAATATATTATAAGAAAGATGCCACAAGAAGCACCCAGCTTCTAGAGATTAAACACACTGATATTTGTGGACCTATGGACACTCCAGCTTTTAATGGAGAAAATATTTCATTATCTTTATTGATGATTTTTCACGTTATGGTTACATCTATTTGCTTTATGAAAAATCTCAATCTGTAAATGTCCTAGAGACATTCATTAAGGAGGTTGAGAGGTAGTTAGATAAAAAAGTGAAAATCGTAAGGTCAGATAGAGGTGATGAATATTATGGTAAATATAATGAGTCAGGACAATGTCCAGGTCCATTTGCAAAATTCCTCAAAGAGCATGGCATATGTGCACAATATACTATGTCGGGCACACCACAACAAAATGGTGTGGCAGAAAGGCGTAATCGGACATTAATGGATATGGTTAGGAGCATGATGAGTAACTCCTCATTACCCAAAAATTTGTAGACTTATGCGCTTAAAAGTGCGACCTACTTGCTGAATAGAATTCCTAGTAAAGCAGTTCAAAAAACTCCTTTTGAATTGTGGACAGGAAGGAAACCTAGCTTAAGGCACCTGCATGTTTGCGGTTGCCCAGCTGAAGCAAGGATTTATAATCTACATGAATGAAAGTTAGACTCTCGAACAATTAGTGGATACTTTATTGGTTATCCTGAGAAGTCCAAAGGGTATGTATTTTATTGTCCGAACCATAGTCCGAGAATTATGGAAACTGGTAATGCAAGATTCATTGAGAATGGCGAAGTTAGTGGGAGTTCTAAAAGGGAAATTGTGGAAATAAAAGAGACTAGGATAAATGTTTGATTGCCTATAATTGTTACTCCATCTACTAAATTCCCTAATGTTGTTCCAGTTGTTGTAGAATAAGATAACAACATTGAACAACATTTGAATGAAGAAGTACTCCCAACA